AAGCCAACAAGAAAAGGTGCGCAGCTGACCTTGTTCATATAAATGAGGATGGACTGGCTGGAGATGTGAAGGCTGGAGACAACTGTGGATGAACTGACCATGAGATTGTGAAGTCCAGGATCTTACATGGAAGAGAAATGGGCAGTAAGTAGGACAGTTAACCCTGGACTTCAAGAGAGCCAATTTTGACCTCTTCAAGGACCTATGTGGAGGCATCCCACGAGTTACAGCTTTGCAAGGTAAGGAGGCCCAAAAAATTTAGTGAATACTCAAGAACTACTCCTGAGCTCAAGATCCCTGAGAAATAAGCTGAGTTGTGCATCACTGAGAAATAAGACAAAGGTGACAGGAGATCTGCATAGAATCTGCATTGAATCACAACTTTTCAGAATTGTAGGGGTTGGAAGAGGCCTCCAGAGATCATCAAGTCCAATCCCCCTCCCTACATCAGGCTGCACAGGTAGGTGTCCAGGGGGGTCTTGAATATCTCCAGAGAAGAACCCCAGCCCCCCTGGGCAGCCTGTTCCAGTGCTCCGTCACCCTCACTGTGAAGAAGTTCCTTCACATATTGGTGTGGAACTTCCTATGCTCCAGTTTATGGCCATCTCCCTTTCTCCTGTCCCCAGAGATCACTGAAAAGAGGTTGGCCATGTCCCTTTGACATCCATACTTAAGATACTTAGAAGCTCATGGAAAAACTCAAATGGAAAAAGAAAGTCTTCAAAATGTGGAGAAGGGGTCTGGCCACCTGGGAGGATTATAGGAATATTGTCAGGACATGCAGCATTGCAATAAGGAAGGCTAAGGCAGACTTGGAATTAAATTTGGCAAGGGAGGAGAGACTTCTGGCAAGGGAAGAAGAAAGGCTTCTTTAAGCACGTCAACAGTAAAAGGACACACTGAATGAGGTGAGTACCCTGGTAATGGAGGATACCGAACACTTTCTTTGCTTCAGTCTTTACTGCTGAGATTGTCCCACAGGAATCCCTGACCCTGGAGATAAGAGAGTGTGGAAAGGAAGACTTCCCCTTTGCCGAGGTGGATCTGTACAGAGATCTACGCAAACTCAACTCACACAGTTCCATGGGACCAGATGGGAATGCATGCCCAAGAACTGAGGGAGTTGGCAGAAGTGGCTGACAAGCCACTCTCTATCAACTTTGAAAGGTCATGGAGAATGGGAGAGGTGCCTGAAGACTAAAGGAAAGCCAGCGTTATTTCAAGAAGAGCAAGAAGGAGGATGTGGGAAACTGCAGGCCAGTCAGCCTCATCTCCACCCCTGTAAAGGTGATGGAACTACTTTTTTTGGATGTCACTTCTAAATAAGTGGAAGAACAGAAAGTTATCAGTAGTCAACATGGATTCAACAAGGGGAAATCATGCTCAATGAATCTGGTAGCCTTTTATGATGCTATGACAGAGTGGATATATGAGAGCATCTAATGTTGTCTACCTTGACTTCAGCAAGGCTTTTGACACTGGCTCCCATAACCACCCCTTCCTGGTAAGCTTAGAAGTTGGGTGATAGAGAGATGGACAGTGAGGTAGACAGAGAACTGAGGCTGACAGGCAGAGCACAGAGGGTTGTCATAGCAGCACAGAGCCTAGTTAGAGACCTGTAGCTGTGTTCCCCAGGCGTTGGTTCTGGATCTAGTCTTCTTTAATATCTTCATCAGTGACCTGGATGAAGAGCTAGAGTGCACCTGAGCAAACCTGCTGATAACAGAAAGTTGGCAGGAGTGGCTGACACATCATAAGTCTGTGCAGACATTCAGCAAGACCTGGACAGGCTGAAGACTTGTGCAAAGAGGAACCTTGTAAAATTAAAAAAGGCTAAGTAAAATGTCCTACATCTGGGAGGAATAACACCATGCATTAGCACAGATTAGTGGCTGGCCCACTGGAGAGGAGCTCTGTAGAGAAAAACCTGGTGGACAACAGATTGACCATGTGCGCACTTGTGGTCAAGAAGGCCAGAGGTATACTGGGGGGCATTAGGAAGAGTGCATAACCAGCAGGTCGAGGTGAGGTGGTTCTCTCCCTCTATCTGCTCTGGTGAGGCCATATCAGGAGTGCACTGTGTCCATTTCAAAGACACAGAACTTCAAGAGAACTTTGGCAGAGGGCCACAAAAATGATTAAGGGCAGGGAGCATTTCCCAGCTGAGGAAAGGCTGAGAGACCTGGGACTGTTCAGTCTGCAGAAGAGAAAGCTGAGAGGGAATGAGTGCTTATATGAGGTCTGTTCATAAAGTAATGGCTCCCATTTTCTTATGTTGCCCTGTGATGTCAGAAGCAGACATTGGTGGTTTGGCAGTAGAGGTTGAACCTTCCCATCAATATTCCATTACATTCTGTTGCTGTGTGACAGATGGCAGCAGAGGGACAGCCTGACAACATGGTGTCTAACGTGGAAGTGCGTATGAAGCCAAAGCAATGCATTCCATCCATGTGGAAAAAATTGTACTCATTGAAGCTTGCTGAATGTGTATGGAGACCAAACAGCAGATGTGAGCACAGAGAGATGGTGAATGGTGCATTTCAGGCAAAGTGCATCACTTGAGCTGGTGCACATTTTTTTTTAAGAGTGTAGCCTGCAGGCTCTTGTCACATAGCTAATTGTGGTGACTATGCTGAAAAAACATGTTTTGTAGTCTGAGAATGTGCTTTATTAAATAGTGTTATTGTGCTCTTTGTACCTTTTGTAGTTTCCATGGAAATAGATAGGAGGCATTGCTTTGAGAACAACCTATTCCAGGCTCTTTTAATGGTACCAAGAGGCAGAACAGGAAGTAATGGGCACAAATAAAAAAGCTCCATAAAAACACAAGGAACAACTTTACTGGGAGGGTGACAGAACACTGGAACAAGCTTTCCAAAAGGGTTGTGGAGTCTCCTCGGGAGATATTCAAAACCTGCCTGTGTGTTTTCCTGTGTAACCTACTCTACGGAATGTGCTTCAGCAGATCCTGTCCAACCCCTATGATTCAGTGAACATCTCAGTCAAAATTTGGAAAAACAAGTCAGGTAGTCCTGCCCAACAGATTACTCACATTTCAAGTAATTTGTTTGTGATCTCAGAATCTCCAGTAGGCAAAGCATTTCTTTTAACTTGCTATTTTATTGATGCAGCAAGTTTCAAGAGTAACCTGGTAGTTTCTCAGCTGTGCTACTTTATGTTCTGAAGAACGCACAGAAGGATGTTTACCAGAGAAAACAAATGCCTGAACACCAAGGTGAGGACTTAAAGGTAAAAGCCATCAGCAAAGCAGGATTTCAGTACTGGGAAGTGCACTTCAGACTCACCAGTACGAGTGGTACCCTGCCCAAAGGAACCTATAAAACACACACTGTGGATACACAAATGATTGCAAGTACAATTGTACAAACATTAGTGAATCATATTAAACTGCCTATAAAAACTTCTGTGTCAGTGTTTTGTTGTTTCAGATAACATTTGTCCCGATTTTTCCTACTAAACAGTCACTTGGGAAAGCTGTCATGAAAAATGGTTCAGCTCTTCTCAAAAGTGAGGCATGTTTTCTTCAGAGGGCATAGTATCACAAACATTGTGCTATTCATCACAGAGAAGAGGCAGTGATCCCAGTGGACCTTCCTAGCACAGAAGCAACCATACAGAGACCAGAACATTAACAGGTCGTTCTTCCCCATTATAAATTATTCTACTCTGCAACACTTTTTTTTTTTTTTTTTTTTTTTTTTACCATAAATCTTATGCCTTGGCATTAAATTTCAGGTTTAGTAGCAAGTTGTCAAGAACACAGTCACACATACTTGCCTTTAAGCTGAAAATTGGCTGTGATTTATCAAAGTCAGCAAGGTATAAATAATGCATGTCTTGCACAGACAACATTTTTTTGTAATGTAAGAACTAATGGCCTGTCAACACAGCATTCCAAATACACAACCTCTACAATGGTTTACAGAGTTTCTTCCCTCAATTTTTTTAATATAATAAATGAAGGGCTGCTAGGAGGCAAAATCACTCTAATTGAGTCCTAACAACTATGATATTGTATGTGACAGTATGCAGAGACATCATATATCTTTAAGATGAGTAAAGGCAGTTAAGGATGCAAATTTCTGCATAATCAGAACTTTGCTGATCAGCGCAAATGAAAAAAAGAATTATATTTACTCAATACTTGCAGCCCAGTGTATAAATCAAAAATTAAATGATCTTGGTGCAGTCTCACTTTGAATACTGTGAACTCCACAATATAAAAATGATGCAAAGATATTTGAGTGAGCCCAAAGAAGGCAAAAGAGATCATAACACAACGAGAAGGCATGTCCTGTGAGAAGAAGGTGTGAATAACTGGGTTGTCCAGTCTGGAGGAGGCCAAGAGGTGACCTCACTGCTCTCTGTAGCTCTTTAAGGAGGAGAAGCAGAGGGAGGTACCACACTCCACTCCTGGGAATCAAAGGTAGGAAAGGAGGCTGACAGTGTGACGGTGGTCAAACACTGGTATGGGCTTCCTGGAGAGGTGATTGATGCCCCATGGCCTGTCAAGTGTTTAAGAAACATTTGGACAATGTCCTCAATAAAATGCTTAACTTTTTATTGGCCCTGAAGTAGTCAGGCAGTCAGACTCAATGGTCTTTGTAGGTCCCTTGCAGCTGATCTATTCTATGCAGACAAATGTGTGAAGAAATATAAGGGCATATGTTCGGTGCCTGTGGTAAGAAAGCAGACTTGAAATTAAAAGTCTGCCGTCGGGGGAGTTGTGGGGGGGAAGCCAATCCAATCACATATGATTTCATGAGGCTTTTATGCCAGAGTTTCTTACAAGATAAAATAGTTCCTCCTTAAATCTGCTGCACTCTAAATATTTTAGGATTATGCTAAAGTTCTGAATCTTAGCCATAGTAGTATAGCAGAAACACATCTGCTGGAGTCTCTGTAAAAAGGAATTAGAAAAGCAGCATTACCAACATACAGTCAGTACAATCAGCTCAAGTTACCTAAATAAACCTTACCTTTCTGTTATTGTTTCTCTGAGACCACTTGCAACACCTTTCACCACTGTACTAGCCTTTGGTGTCAGCACTACTTGAGATATAAAAAAGGAGCCCTTCTTTCTTCTTTCAGTGATTGATGCCTGGAGGAACTGAATTAGTTTTTCTGGATCTGTTGTATTTGCCCATGGAGCTGGCATCATCTGGCCTGGCCAAAGAAATGGTACCTCAAGAGCCACTGGGCTGTGATAAAAAACCAGCACTTGGTGTTCCTTTTCCCACAGGTACTGGAGGCTTACTTCATGGGCAAATATAGCAGGACACATTTTGTTTCCATATGTGTCCTTGAGCATCTGGACAAGCTTTTCATGATGGTATTTCTGCATTCCATAGAAATGATTGAAGTCCAAGAAAACCACTTCTTTTAGGTGGTCAGCAAGGAATGCATTGATCTCTTCCAGGCCTTCCTTGACTTTGGCACTGAATAAGCCATGAGCAAAGTAGAGTTCGTTGTCTGGGTCTCTGGGCTTGGTGGAAATCCTAAGATCAAAATACCGTATACCTGCACCCAGCTGGCTGGTGAAATTCATGGTCTGTGTAGCCAACCACTTCCTCATCAGCTTTTTAGCCACTGTCCCAAAGACAGACACAAAGTTCTGGACTGTTTCTGGCTGTTCAGGCCCAACTGGAGAGGCTTCATCGATGTAGAAGCTAAAAGAGTCATGGGAACCTAAAAACACAACAAAGAAGAATAATTAGTATTGGTTGCATGCAAGAGGAGGCATTAATGGTTCTTTCTCTCTGATCTCTATCAACATTTTTCCATCAGCTCTGCACAGGAACTTGAATGAAAAGAAGTAACTGCTTTACAGTTTGTCTAGGCATTCTCTCACTCTTTCAGCTCTTAGTGACCCTTTCTGTACTACCTAAGTCAGAGGCTCTGAATGTCAAAAAAAAAAACTGATAAAACTTCAACAAAATCAGACATATAACATACCCCCAGAGCCAATGGAAAGATGAGAATCTGGCCTTGTGCTCTGAATAGTGCATTGTCTGGTTTGCACAACAAGCCACACATCTTTGCATGAGTGTAAAAATGCCAAAGACGTGTAACCTTTCTGACCTTTTCTCTACTTCAAATCTCAAATTGTCAGAAAGGTTACTAAATGCTGTTTTCCTTCTTAAACATACCTCTAAATTATTTTTGCCATGATACATAAATAAAACAGAGCCATGGATAGCATGTTCCTCCATTAAAACACAGAAACTCCACTGTGTGCTCTTGACAAGAACAGGACTACTACTAAACATGCCCATGTAAAGAAGCTACCATTTTCTACAAAACAACATGGTTGTATACAAATATCTAAAAAAAACTGCTTTGCAAAATTCTGGTTCTGTCAAGGTATGTCCTTAAAAACATGCACACATTTTGTCAACCATTTACATCTTTACATGAAAGCAGCTGAGATTCTAAAGACATCTGCAAACACATGATAATTCTCCTAGCGTGAATTCTGTCCTGCTTTTAGGCAAGAATTGCTCACCCTAAGAGATGCTTATCATACTTGTCTACCGTGCACAGTTTGCACAGACTGCCTGACTGCAGGCAGAGCCACTGTCCACCTGGTCAAGTATGCTGGTCACATTCACCACAACAAGGAGTTCTGATCCTCAGGTTGTGCCATACCACCAGCACAACTCCTTCAGGTCAGCAAGACTGCAACTCTAAAATAGATCACAGCGTTAAGCCCCCTGAGATCCAACTTCAAGCATCAAAATGAGTTCAAAGCACAAGTCATGCCTTCTGTTATTTATGCTTTTATAGGTGCTTTTCAAAATTATCTTCCAAGGCATACCAGCTGTAGCAAACAAGTTTCACATTAATTAAATCCTGCTACTCAGTCATTTCTGATGGTGATGCTATTTTAACTGAGCTGCAACAAACCCTTTATACTGAAGTGACAGCTGTAAAATTTTCTTTAACAATAAGTGGAGTCACACAAATCATACCTAATTTCAATACCTTAAAGGGAGCCTACAAAGAGGAGGGGAATCAACTCTTTGAAAGGGTAGATAACTGCAGGACAACGGGAAATGGTTTTAAGTTGAGGGAGGGGAGATTGAGGTTGAATGTCAGGCGGAAGTTCTTTACAGAGAGAGTGGTGAGGTGCTGGAACAGGCTGCTCACAGAGGCTGTGGTTGCCCCGTCCTTGGAGGTGTTCAAGGCCAGATTGGATGGGGCCCTGGGCAGCCTGATCTAGTATTGAATGGGGAGGTTGGTGGCCCTGCATGTGGCAGGGGGGTTGGAGATTCATGATCCTTCAGGTCCCTTCCAGCCCTGGCCATTCTGTGATTCTGTGAATTCATCTTAAACTCTGGCTTGAATTTTCTTTGTTTAATCTGAGAAAAATCTTAAAATATTATACACCCCTCCTTTTCACGGTTGTCTCCTTGAACAGCATTTCACTTTCAATATTAGACAAGTTCTCCATTTTGATGAAGATTGCTACTGAAGAGTGTTGAAGCAATACTGTATTCCTTGCAGAGCCCAATTAGATCATGGAGTATCTTGTTACATACTGATACCCCAGGGGACCAGATCTGCATACAGAATTTTAATAGTAAAACAAATGATTAGAGCAGTAACTTGTGTTTCAACAGCATCATAGGGAAAAATCAGTGTGATACATTAAATGTGCTGCTCAATGTTACCTGCACTAATCTAGAAATCAAAGTAAATTCAGTCTTCTTAAAAACAAGGCATAGTTACTGGTATTAAAGATGGATCTTGCAAACCTTCATTTTGTCTACTGAAGTTCCTTTGATTTCAGTAGGATTTTATTTCTGAAGTATATATGTACAAACAAGATTAACTGAATGCAGCAGTGGGCCCAAAATCATAGTGAGATTAATTAAACTATTTGCCTTTTATTGTCAGATCTATAGCCTTTGGGAGTTGCAGAAGAGGTAGCTAAGCTTGATCACCACAGCCAATACACAACACAGTGACAAACAATACTATAAAACACTTTAGTCATGAGAGGCCACATACTTCTCACTGTTGAAAACTACAGGAACGACTTGTTAGCCAGCAGCCTTTAGCCTTCATTCAGAGCACAGACAGAAAGGAAGGAACATCATGGTTAGAAGCTGCTGACCAGTACAAGCAGAATAGTATAGAATTTTGTTTTTTTTAAATAAGATCTGAAGGCACATATTTGAATCTAAAAATTGAATTCCTGTGTAAAAGGTATGAAGAGGAGGGCACTAAAAAACTCCATGTTTTGTAGCCAGAACAGGAAGGACCCACTCAGTTCTATAAAGAGAAAATAAATTTTGACTTATTTTGGTTGACAGTGAAAGGATCTGATGTGAGCTGTTTCAAAGTTTGTAAACGTTCTTCCTGACTGAAAAAAAAAATAAAAAAAAATGTTTTTTGCTGTCCACACGAATAAGTAATTTGAGCAGGTCATCTAATGTTTATCCTCATCACACACTATCTATATTCCACATCATCAGCTTGCACCTCTAACTCTGTGAAATTCAAAATCCTGGTACTTAGCATACAAAATTAAGAGTAAAATTTTTAAGTGATTTTACCAAATCACTGTGTTTCTGGTAAAGAGAAGACCTTGTATGAACATGTAAGACAAGATCTTGTACATTTTCATTAGGAAATTTCCTTCCAGCCTTGCTTTGATGCACAGAGACATCCTCATACTTCATTGCCACTGACAAGTGGACTTGCTGGTCCTCGTTATCATTAGATCTCAGGTCCCATAAAGAAAGCAAGCAGGACTGCCCTGGTTTTGGTTGCAATAGAGTTACTTTTCCTCACATAAGTGGTCTGATGCTGTATTTTAGATTAAGAGCAAGAATATAGTTTATCGCCCACCAATGTGTTAGCAGTAGCTGAGCAGCGCTTACACAGAGCCAAGGACATTTCAGCTTCTTACACTGCCCAGCCAGTGAGGGGCTGGAGGTGAGCAAGGTGCTGGGAGAGAACAGAATCAGAACAAATGGCCCAAACTGCCCAGTACTGCATCCCATACTACACGGAATGATGCTAAACAGCAAAGCTGGAAGGGGGAAGGAGGGGCTTTCAGAATGATGACATTTATCTTACCAAGAAACTGCGATGCATGCTGAGCCCTGCTGTCCTGGCAGTGGCTGAACACCTGCTTGCTGATGGGAAGCAGCCAATGAATTCCTCGCTATCCTCTGCTTGTGCACTTGGCTTCTGCTCTATCTGGTGAACTGTCCTTATCTCAGCCCAGGGGGTTCTCCCACTTTTACCTTTCTGATTCTATCCTTCACCCCACCTAGGGACAGTGAGCAAGCAGCCATGTGGTGCTGAGCTGCCCACCACAACAAGAGTACATTCAGAAATACTAATGCAATCACACATGAAGTCTTCAGAAGGCAGCAGTGTTCACACATTAGCTTTTTTCTTTTTCCTTTTCTTTTTTTTTTTTTTTTTTTTTTTACAACAGTAGGGAAGCAGACCTGCAAACTCCAGAAAATGCTCACACCTGATATATCAGGTGCTGATATAATGTAGCTGCACCTACGTTTCACAAGTGACAGTCCTTACTACAGAGACTTCATAACTTAAAATGAGAAGAAGCAAGGCAAAGGGAAATCATTCAACCCAAATCACACCAGGAAGAAGAGTGAACTGATACTCTCTTTTTCACTCTCTTCTCACCAATTTACTAATTGTCTAGCATTTTCTAGAAGTACTAGGTAGCATTTTCCCACTATTTCAGCAACACAATAGACAATGATTCAAGCAGTCAAGGATGAAGAGTCACAGATTGAGATCACAGGGTTGGTAAACAAGGCATAACTACAGTTTGGATAAGTCACAGACTGCTGAGTTATGAAGAGAAAATGGATAAAGCCTTCTTTAACCATACGGAAGAAGCACCATGGACTATTTTCATGGGAAACTTTGACTACCCTGTTTTCATGGAAAATTTCAACTATTTTGATATTTGCTGGAAGAGCAAAACATAAGGGCACAAAACACTCTGGAGAGGTTCAAAGACTTTTTGTCTTTTCTGCAGGCACTCCTCCTAGTGGACTGCTGGGCTTGGGATAAATAAAGGAGAAAATGGCTAGGGACACGAAGGATGACAGCCATAAACTGACTACAAGGTGATGAAAAAAATTAAAATCCTGAGGAAAGCAAGAAAGGTAAACTGCAGAACAAAGACTTGCTATTTTGAAGTAGTAGTTTTTGCTCATTCAACTTCTTTAAGTGCCAATGGACTGAGGAGAAACGGTTGTACTTGAAATACAACTCCCAGAGCATATGAACAATCCAACCCAGTGTGTAAAAAACCAAGGAGATAATGCAGGGGGCAAGTTTGGCTGAACACACAAGTGAGTTCAAACACAAAATTCCATATAGAAAGTGTAAACAGGGACAGCTACCTGTGAGAAATAGAAGAGGGAGACAAGGAGAGTTATGAAGTGCAAAGCTTGGCTGGAGTTAAAATTTGGAAAGAATGCAAAAGGCAACATAGATCTCCTACACAAAGACCAGAAGCAAGAGCAAGGAAGAAGGAAAATGCTGCTCCACTACTGAGTGGGGCAGAAGATCTCATAATGCAGGACAAGGAAATCGCTGAAGTAACTGAACAGTGGCTGGACCAGATGACTGCTTGAGCTCCTTTTCAACCTAAATTATTCCCCATCTCTTGTTCTCCCTGCTCCCCCAAG